ACAAAATGACAATTCTTGTGGCTCAACCTAACACATCCAATTCACTGCGCAAACGCAACTTCAGCCCAGCGGCTGAAAAGCAAACCCGGGCAGTGGTGGAGGTGATGAGCCCAACTGGCAACGCTCGGGGCACCAGAGTCTCAACATGTGGACAGAAGTGCCAGGTCTTTGGAGGAGGGGATGTCAGTGAGAATGGAGCTCCCAGGCTTTCTTTTGGATTCTATTCATAACATAACTGTTTGGCCAATTTTGTAAAATATCCACATCTGGAAAGGCAGGAAAGGCAGGCGTAGACTCCCTGCTGAAGGGAAGAGCTCAAGGGAACCAGGGGATGAGGCGGATGCCCAGTCCCCTGATTCGGGCAGATCACAGCTTGTCCTTTTGTTTTGTTTTTCTCTGCTGGGGACTGAACCCACAGAAGCTCAACTACTGAGATGCATTCTGCTTTTTTTTTTTTTGAGACAATCTCACTAAGTTGCTAAGGCTGGCCATAAACTTGTGATCCTCCTGCCTCAGCCTCTCAAGTCACTGGGATTACAGGCCATTTTCTCCTGCTGTCATGAAGCCACCACACCCAGCAGAGCCAGTCACTTCAGAACAGTAACACCAGGACTGCACACATGGATCACACTTCAACTCTCCATTAAGTACATGAAGTGTAAAATGAATTTTCTTACATCTACTCAGACTTTTAGCAGACCAAGGAAAGGGGAGAGAAAAATAGAGAAAGTCATTTAAATGTCCTAAAATACTTGACAAACATCGAGATTTTGTTCCGTTAGTCTCACCCCACAGAAACAATCTGGGATCGATTCTCCCTCGGTATGTGATCCTGAGCCTGGCAGAGCTCTGCGACGAGGCGCCCGACACTGCACAGGTGCCTGCTGCGGGCTCTGACCGGGGATCCCCACAGCTACCCACACAGCATCGATGGGACAATCCACCAGCAGGTGCAGGGCTTTGGAAGCCAACAACACAGGGCCAGCAGCTGACCCAAGGCTAGGGGACCCCCAGGCAGCTCTGTGAGCTGCGGCACACTCATGGGCCCCTCACAGACACCAGGGATGGGCTGTGGCTCCAGCTGTCAGGCCCACAGGCCCACTGCCAGCCACTGTGCTCATCTCGAAAATGGGAATGGTGAGGGCCRAGCCCGAGAGGCTGCTAGCAAGAACCTGATGAAATTGCTCTCAGGAAGCCCCTGGAATGCCCGGCCACGCAGCCAGCCCTCACAGGTGTCAGCCCTCACCTCATCACAGGCCTCACTCAGCTTCACTGCCAACAAACACCCAGCTGAGCCAAGGTGCAGCGCTGAACCTGGCCTTGTCTCACACAAAACACCCTTTTAAGAAACCATATTAAGAACTGTGTGGAGGCTGGGGCTGGGGCTCAGCGGCATGAAGCACTGTGTTCAATCCTCAGCACCACATAAAAATAAATAAAATAAAGTTATTGTGTACAACTACAACTAAGAAAAACTTWAAAAGAATTGTGTAGAAAGATGAATTTCTAACAATGTTAAGTGAAAATGGTTTGGGGGGGCTTTTTTTGGTACTAGGAATTGAACCCTGGGGCACTTAACCACTGAGCCACATCCCCATCCCTATTTTTGTATTTTATTTAGAAACAGGGCCTCACTGAGTTACTTAGGACCTTGCTAAGTTGCTGAAGCTGGCTTTGAACTCGAGATCCTTCTGTCTCAGCCTCCCAAGCAGCTAGGATTTTAGGTGTGTGCCACCACCCCTAGCTATTTTTTCTGTACTGGGTGCCCTACCACTGAGCCACATCCCCAGCCCCTTTTATTTTTCATTTTGAGGCAGATTCTCACTAAATTACTGAGGCTGGCCTTAAAGCTGAGATTATCCTACCTTAGCCTCCCAAAAACTGGAATTACAAACATATGCCATGGCACTCGGCTCTGAAAATATATTTTAAAAAGATTCCACTATTAATAATAAACCTTCTAGAAGGAGATGCTGGTTGACGGCTGAACAGTCTGGTAAATACAGTATACTAAAAAAACCAATGGATGAGCCAGACACGGTGACACAAGTTTGTAATTCCAGTGTCTCAGGAAGCTGAGGCAAGAGGGTCACAAGTTCAAAGCCAACCTCAGCAACTGAGGAAGACCCTTTTTTTTTTAATTAAAAAAAAATTTTTTTAGTTGTAGATAGACACAATACCTTTTTATTTTATAAATTTATTTTTATGTGGTGCTGAGGATCGAACCTAGGGTCTCGCATGTGCTAGGTGAGTGCTCTACCACTGAGCCCCAGCCCCAGCCCAAGACCCTGTCTTAAAATAAAAAAATAAAAAGGGCTGGGGATGTGTCCCAGAGGTAAAGCACCCCTGGGCTCAATCCCCAGCACCCAAAACAACAACAACGAACGGATGGATGGCAACAGCCAAGAGTGGCTTCCACAGTACACACATCTCGTGTCCAGAAAAGACAGACGAGGAAGGAACACCGAGGAGGACTGCGCCATGAAGACTTCCAGAGGGAGGGCTGGGCCGGGGCTCAGCGCAGAGCGCTCGCCTAGCTCGGGGAGGCCCGGGGTTCGGTCCTCAGCCCCACATAAAAACAAATAAATAAAATAAAGGTATGTGTCCAACAAAAATAAGAAAAAAATTAAACAACAACAACAAAAAACCCTCCAGAGGGAAAACAATGGCTTATTTGTCTGCTATGGCAAAGACAATCCAGCTACAACTGTGGCTTGGGTCTAAATTGCTTCTCTGTGTAGTTTTTTTTAAATCCAAATATGTAATTTTTATATATCGATTTTTAAAATCCTGAGGAGCCTCAAAAACAAACTCAAAAAGTATTATTTCATCCATAACACATTCAGCTTGATAAGTGATACAATAAAATCCAAAGAGAAAGAAAAAACTAAGTGATTGCTTCACATCTGTGACCTTTTCCTTCAAAGTTGGCTCAGGATGTCCATTTTACTTCCTACTTCCTTATGACCTCCCGCAGCGACAAATGCAGCTACGTCATTGGGCCAAGAGCCATCCCCCTGGGCTGGAGTCCTGACTGCAGCACACCAGTTGTGTGACCCACAGCTAGGAACTTAACTGCTCTGAGCCACAGTTTCCTCTCTTTAAACAGGACCAGGCAGGGCAGGGTGGCACACACCTGTAATTCCAGCAGCTCACAAGGCTGAGACAGGATTGTGAGCTCAAAGCCAGCCTCAGCAACGGGGAGGTGCTAAGCAACTCAGTGAGACCCTGTCTCTAATAAAATATGAGATGGAGATGGGGATGTGCCTCAGTGGTTGAGTGCCCCCTGAGTTCAATCCCTGGTACCGCCCCCACCCCCAGCCCCCACCAAAATAAATTTAAAAAATGGGAATGTCAGAAAGAAGGGTACCATCTTGCAGGCTGCGGAGGGTTATCACTCTTTTTGTTTGTTTCAGGGGAAGATTTTGGTACTAGGGATTGGTTCTAGGGGAACTTAACCACTAAGCCACATCCCCACCCCTCTTTGTTTTAAGACAAAGTCTCCCTAAGTTGCTTAGGACCTCACTAAATTCCTGAGGCGGGCTTTGAACTTGGCGATCCTCCTGCCTCAGCCTCACGAGCCACTGTAATTACAGGCGTGCACCACCGCACTGATTCCTACTTGTAAAGCATCTGGACGGATCCTGTTACAAATGCTGTATGGGCAAAGGTGCTATCAGTACACGTGGACCATGCTCCACGGGCCCTACACGGTGGTGGACGAGGCACACATGCCACATTCCAGAGGAAGGACAGACCAGTGACCACACAGGTATGCCCGGGCTATGCTCAMGCAGGTCCACAGGACACTGACCGTGGCCAGCAGGTAATGTGAAAACGACTTCCAACTTGGGGAACCAGCAATGTAATACCACCCGGCTGCTAGACACAAGCGCTTGAGTGTCCAAGGCCTCCTCTCAGGTCTGTGGACAAGYGTAACTTGCTCTGTCCCCCATGCTGACACACACAGCACAAGCTGGCCCCAGGCTGTTCTTCTGCAATGGAAGTGGCACAGAAGAGAACAAACTGCAAGTTCATTTCTCCAGCAGGGCTTCAGAAACAACCTCACACGTGTCCCTTAGTTTGCTAAAGTGAAATTAACAGGCTGGGGTCATGGCTCAGCAGCAGAGCGCTTGCCTGGCACGTATGAGGCAGTGGATTACCAACAAATAAATTATTTTTTTGAAGATAATTTTAAATAAATAAATCAAGTCAAATTAACGCATGACACATTTAAATAAGCGCATCCAACTGCTCCTAGTTTTGCCCAGGCAAACAGAGCACTCTTTAATAGGGAGTTTTGATCTGCAGAAAGTCACGTAAAAACTGCTCTTTAAACATTAACTTCTCAATGTCGTTCTGACTCTGAGGACAAGAAAGGGTGAGGCAGCACGCCCCTCCACCAGTTCAGGCCAGCTTTGATTTGGAAAGTGCCACCAAGTGTCAACAGCACGAACCGTTGCCTCAGGATGAAAAGTCTCCTGGAGGTGTGTCTCCAGGAAGGTACAGGTGTAGGCCACAGACTTACGAACCCATAAGCTGAGCCTACTAAAAGTAAACCTGGGCAAAAGTCTCCATAAAGACTGTTCAGCATTTTCAGTCTTTACAGGTAACTAAAATCTAGGTTCAGGAAATGCTGGGCTGGGAGTCTCTGGGGCCTTGAGAGGCAAGGGAGTGGGTGAGAAGACCCCCAAGGGCTGCTCCTCATCACCACCCTCAGCCACCTGTGCCTGCTGCAGCTGGAGATCCACTGGTCCAGACACCAACCACCCAGCTGCATGAAGCTGAGGCATGTAATGCTATAGTGAAGTTAAGTATTTTGCTTTTCAACAACCAGAACAGGTTTTTGTAGTGACTACCAAGAGGAAAACACATCGCCTCAGAACCAGGGCAGGTTCAGCTACCGAGACACTCCCAAACAGGCTCAGAGCCATCCTAACAGGTGCTGAAGCTCCGCTCCAGTCCAGATTGGCCAAGAGGGACGAGACCCACATGCCTACCTGCAAAATGCAGAGGAGCATCTTTATCCAGGGCGATCAGCGGAGGATCAAGCAGCACCGTGTTGTCGTTCTCGGTGACGATGCCATGGTAGGTGGGCTCCAGCCACGGCTTGTGTTTGTTGACTGGGTGAAAACAAAGCAGAAGGAAACAGGGGAGGTTAGGGTTACTGTTGTGAAGTGCACAGTCTTTGAAGACACACTTTTTTTTTTCCTTCTCTCTTTTATGGAGCTAGGGAGGAGGCAGTGGGCCTTGTGTGTGCCAGGTGAGCTCTCCACCACTAAGCCACACTCCAGAGCAAACCTATGTAAAACAAAACTCCCACTAGACTGCATTTGGTTGTAGTGTTCAATATTGAAACCAAATAAGACAAAATCCTAAAATTCTAGAGTAAGTCCTGTAGAATTCATCTGTCCATGAAGCAACTGGAAGTAAGAAAGAAACTGCTCTAGAAATTAAGATGAAAAAAAGGATCAGTGGCTACAAACTCAAACTACTTGTTTTTAGCCAATCACAGGTGTTTACAAAGAACAAGGCTCTCTTTTTTTTTTTTTAAAGAGAGAGAAATTTTAATATTTATTTTTTAGTTCTCGGCGGACACAACATCTTTGTTGGTATGTGGTGCTGAGGATCGAACCCGGGCCGCACGCATGCCAGGCGAGCGCGCTACTGCTTGAGCCACATCCCCAGCCCGGCTCTCTTCTTTACATCACCATTGCTTAATTACTGCCTGTCATTTTAAATCTTCATTTCAAAAAAAATGCAAAAGATGAAAAATACTGATTAATATAAGATTACAAATATGTTAAAATAAAACTAAATGCAAAATTTCTTTTAAAAAAATGAAAAAAGAGTGTTTAAGAATAATTGCACTTGAGCATCACCAACTTGGGGTCAGATTCTGGCGCCCTTTTATGAGCCAGGTGACCTTGAGCACAGCAAAGAGCCTCTCAATCCGGATTTCCTCCTCTTATAAACCAGGACCGCCCTCCTCACAAGGGGATCTCCTTCTGGACAGGCGCTGGAGCTGCTGTTCTGGCCTCTGCTCGGCCACTATCTCTTCGGCTCTTGTGTGCTTTGCTTTGCCTGGGGTGGGCTCAGGGTCTATGCAGGACTTCCTCCAGGTTCTGGCCACTGGGTCCCCTGAGCTGGCTGTGCCCAGTTTCTTGTGACTCCCRCACAGTGTGGCTCCTTTTCCTCTCCTTTCTACCTCAGAAGTGCCAGGGCCCCCCCAACAAACGACTAACTAGGGCCCATGTCATTGAAGCTCATCGGAAAAGCTGAGAATAGTGTGAGGACTTGATTTCGAGCCCAGTCTATTGGCCAAATGAATCCTTTGAGTTCTTTTCTGCAGGTGCAAATCAACCCAGAAGCATCCAATGTCACCATGTGATACTACAGTCATACACCACACTGGTGACATTTCAAGAGACCAAATATGTGACGGAGGTCCCATGAAACTGTACCACCTGGTGGCTTTGCAGCCCTCTTGGTTTGTGGACACACACTCTGTGAGGCCCACACAAAGCTGGGACTGCCTGACCTGCCCCTGCTGTTAAGCAATGTGCTTCTCCACTGCTGTGCAGTGACTTGTGCAGTGACAGAGCCCCTGGGCCTTGCCTGCCCCTTCCCCAGATAGCTGAAGAGTCTGGAGTGAGCAGGCACGTGGGGCCTGTGTGTGCAAGGGAAGAGACCAGAACAAAGCCGCCTGCTCACCAACCAAAGACACTGGCACCAGATACACCTGCACAGCACACCCAGCCCACAGCAAATCCTCCGGCCTCCGCTTTCAAAACAAGGCCAATCCCTGGAGTGGGTCTGGAGAGCACGGAGATGTTGTACTTTTGCAACATGAACAGCTCTAGAGGATGCAAAATAAATTTGGCACCCTGAACTAGGCTCCAAAATGGGAACGATAAGAAATTTTGTTACATATATTTTGCCACAATTTTAAAAAATCCACACACATGAATAATCCAGGATAAAGCAATGTCCTGTCACCTCTATGCTCACCTCGGCTGTCAGCAGCCCAGTAACCCTCCTCACCTCCAGCCCAGTAACTCTCCCCACCTCCACCCACCGTCACTCCTCCACGGGGCGGGCAGGGAGGCCATTGGGACTCCTCCACAGTGGTGGTTCCCAACCCTTGTAGTTTCTAAGCCCATTAACAACAGAAATCATGGACAGCCTCTGTGACGTCTGTGCCTGTCCATCTATCAACTTCACTATATTGGAAATTAAAACCAGGAAAAAAATATTTATCCATTCCTTAAAAAAAACTTATTTTTAACATAATATTTTTATGATAACTTTTTTTTTAAATACTGGAGATTGATCCCAGGTACTTTACCAGGGAGCTATACCCCCAGCCCTTTTTATTTTTGAGAATCTTACTATATTACTGAGGATGGCCTCAAATTTTTGATCCTCCTGCCCCAGCTTTCCCAGTCACTGGGATTACAGCCATGTGCCACCACACCCAGCAATAAGCATACTTTTAAAAACAATGTTCACCAAGAAAAGCAGCATGCCGTATGTTTCTGCAAACCTTCTTGCCATCTGGCTTACAGAGCCAGCTGGGCTCCCATCTACCCGGACATGCATCCTGCCCCACGCTGCCCCTGCAGCACTCCATTGCACATTCGGGAGGAGGGGAGAAGATGGACTCYGCCCCAGTGCCTCACTTTGGTTCTGGTGCAAGGCCTCTTCCAGCTCCCTGCAGCAGCTCACATCTCCCTCCCTCCATCTGTGCCCCAAGCAGGGAGAAGATGGACCCCTGGAACCCAGCCACCTGGGTGAACCCTGCCTGGGCCCTGCCCAACCTGCACTTGTGGGCCTCGGTATCCTTATTTGTAAAATAGGACAATGACGCTGGAAGGTGACAGTCATTGCACCCAGTGCTCAGGACAGCCCGGCACTCAGGACAGGTGGAGGAGGCTGCGGTCCTAGCCCACCAGACCCCGTGAGGGCATGGCCTTCTGTGCTGCTCGTTCCAATACCCTGGCACTGTGCTGAGCACCAACTTGCTGAGGCCCTACTGGTGCAGAGAGGGACAGACAAGGAGCCTCGTGGAGTACAAATGAAACCAGCTGCCCTGCTCTGGACTACCCCGCAGAGAAGACGAGAAGACGGCTCTGGAGCTGGTTCGACTTGGGGTTTAGCACGGGAGGGTGCCCCTGGCTTCTGGAAGGGGTCTAAACAAGGAAGCTGGAAAATCCAGAAGCAGCACAAGAACCAAAGAGGTCAAAAGAGAGCTTCTGGGACCGGGGATCTGGTGAGGAGAACCTGGCAGCACCACAGCCCTCCTCCGTGATGTACCACAGCTCCGGAACTGGCCTCACAGCAGCCTTCAGTCCCACAGAGTCCCTGGGAGCAGAGTGCAGCTCCACTCTGCACTGGGTTGGACGCCTCACCTCTGCTGGGCCTCAGCATCCCCTCCAGGCATCTTCTTAAGTGAACCGTGCTGTGACGCACATAGGCTGAGAAGCGCCTGCAGTGGCCAGCACAAGGGAAACAGATCATCGTAAACTAGAGTGTGGCCGGGTGCAGTGGTGCACATCTATGATCCCAACAACTTGGAGGTTAAGGCAGGAGGGCCACTCCTCTGAATAAAGGCCAGCCTCAGCAACTTAGCAGGACTTTGCTTCAAAATAAAAACAAAAAGGGCTAGGGATGCGGCTCAGTGGTAAAGCCCTACACCGAAAAAATTGAATTTAAACAGTATGAGCATTCTCCAAACGCTGCATTGTTTATCATCAATCTATCACTTTAAAACAGTTTGATTTGCCATTAATAACAATACATGATTACAATCTGTTTTAATACTTTTAATATTTTAATAAAATCACAAGCAGGATAATAAGACTAATGAATCATTCCAGTACTTGAATCCATAAAACTCCTGAAAAACTAAATGAATTTATTGCCTTTATTAACCTACTGGGAACTGAAGACACTAGGCAGAGAAACCTGCTGGAGGCCTGCAGGGACAGAACTGTGACCTGCTGCCTTAATGAAAGGCCTACAGCCTAAAATGGCTGTGGGTTCAGGGGAAGCAAACTCATAGCTATAGTCCCAGCTCTTTTATCTTTCCCAGCATTCTAATTTTATAATTCAAAATTTCTAAATTGCTCCTTTAAGCTGGCAGAACAATGAAAAGATCTGGCCAGTTCCAGAGACTGAACTTTTCAATATTTAATGAATGGTATTTTTAATATTTCATCACATTCAATTTGCATTATAAAACATTCATAAGCACAAGTGACTGATGTTTCTGTAATCATTTCCCCCCCAAAAAATCACCAAGACAAGAGACCACTGGCCCTAAGTGTAGGGATGTATCACCCTAGTAGCCTGTTTATACTTAACTCATGTCATCACATCCGAGACCATTAAAACCAACTATATTTGGAAGAGTACAGCACTAATTTAAAATAATGAACTGGCAAAGCTGGCAGCCAGACCCGGAAGCACAGGGCACGTCTGGGATACACATTCATTATTTTAAGACATGACTACTTTTGTTGTGGTCTCAGTGGATTTTATTCTTTAGATTGTCATAGATTTTTAAATCAAGCTGAACAAAAATCAACTCAGGGTTAACTTTACATATAAGCTATGTTCATGGTTCTGAAGTAGCTCAGTGGCAGAGTGCTTGCTCCCAGCACACAAAAGGCCCTGGGTTCTGTCCTCAGCACTGGAAAAAAGAAAATATTTTTTTCAAAAGTTATGCATCCTGGGGCTGGGGTTTGATCCTCAGCACTGCATAAAAATAAATAAGATGAAGGTATTGTGTCCATCTACAAATTTAAAAAAAAAAAGTTTTGCATCCTGAGCACACCCCAAATCTGTGGGATAAAGAGTGGCAGGTCCTTCACCCGAGTGGTAAGCAGGAGAGTCCAGTAGGCTAGTCTAGAGCCTGTATGCTGACCACAGCGTGCCCTGGTGCTCCGGATGGCACCCTGGACATCAACCCACCACCACGAACCATTCCCTTCTTATTTACTCATTTCTAAGCAGAACTCCACTATTTCCAARTAAGATTTGATGTGTGCTCCTCATTCACTCACCTGGGTGTGTCATATGGTTAAATAATAATAGCTGAATGTTTCCCAAGATTGCACAT